AGTTTGAAGAAGATCTGCTGGTCCACAAGCCTGTTGCTAAGTGGACTGCAGAGGAAGTGATCCTCTGGCTGGAGCAGCTGGGCCCGTGGACTTCACAGTACAGAGAGAGATTTTTGTTGGAGAAGGTGAATGGAAGGTGAGAGACCTGATGGCCAAGAACAGCTGTGGTTTGATGGGACTACTGATGGATTCATTAGGGGTGGCATAGGGAGAAACGACTGTCCTTTGTTCCATAGATCATGGGAACTACTGATGGATTCATTATAGTGGGAAATGACTGTCCTTTGTTCCATAGATCATGGGAATATTCTGTTGATGTATCAGAATAAATTTCAGGGGAAGTTTAAGCAGTTGTCAGTAAAAATTTTAGTAATAGATCCTAAACAAACTAACAGTTTTCTAACAACTTTTTAAAATGCTGACAATGCAGAGTGAACTGATACTAAGAGTAAAGTTCTACCCACCCCTCCAACCTCTCCTTTCTTGTGGAAAGACACATATGCTAGATGCATTGTTCATTGCACCCAAGGGCTGTGCTGAAAGGAAACTTGAAGGGTATTTAAAACCCAGGCTGTGAGATGCAGTTGGTGTAGAATTTGATGTGGCATGTAATGATGATCTTTAAGGTCTCTCCCATCCCAAAGTATTCTGTGATTCTGTAATCCAAAAGGTGCAACCTGTTTTCAATAGCTTATTGTTTCAGTATGTAATTGCTAATTTGTTAGTCATATCTTGTTGGTGAAGAGGCACTGTTTACCTCTGGAATTCTTCTGCTCTTGTAGGCTCCTCTTGACACTGACAGAGGAGGATTTCATGAAAGAGCCTTACAGTATAGAGAACAGTATCCATAGAAAAGCCATTATGGCAGAACTGGAATGTGTGAAAACTTTAGGTGTTAAACCACCACAGAACCTTTGGGAATATAAGGTAAAGTTTATATCAAGTCTGTCATGTATATCAAGTATTTTTAAAATAATATCTTCTAAAAAAAGATTCCCTTAAAGCCAGGAGGAGTGTGAAGGTGGTGGAGTTGCCCTTGTCAAAACTGCTCAGTGTAATGAACTGTTGTATTTGAAAAATGATCCTTTGAAAAATGATTCTCAGAACATCTAAGAACTAGCATGTCCCTTTCATCTGATGTTTACACTGTTTGAAACTTGATGATTTGCTACCTTTCAGGCTGTCAATCCAGGAAAATCCCTCTTTCTTCTGTATGCACTGAAGAGCTCTCCAAGGCTCAGTATGTTATACCTGTATCTGTTTGATTACGCAGAAGCTTTCCTACCTTTCATCCACACAATTTGTCCTATGCAAGAAGACAAATATGAAGATATTGTCACAAAACTGCTGGTAAGTGCTCAGACACTAAATATGGCACTTGCTCTAGTTATAAGCTTTTTAAGACCAGCAGCATAAACACACTGATTTTATTGTATGTGATCACCAGTGTTGTGACCAGTACTTTTAGTAAGATTGTTTGAAGGCTTTTAAGACTTGAAATGTGTGAAACTGATTCTTCTGAAGTTCACACGACTGCAGAAATCACCTGTACTTTAAGAAATGGCATTATTAGGTCTGGCTAGCTGTGATGTTCTAATCTGGTGGGAATTGCTGCAGTGGAGTATCATCTACCAGCAAATATAATAAAGATAATTACTGCTTTCAGTGTATGAAAAAACAGCTTTTCAAGAAAAAAGGCTAGTAGAAATAAGCCATAATTGTGTCTGTGTAATAGAAAATTAACAGTCTTTTTATCTTCATTTACAGGACCTCAAAGATCCTTCCTGGAAACAGTGGAGAGAATTCATTGTAAAGTACTTACTTTTGCCATACCAGTTGATAGCTGAATTTGCTTGGGATTGGCTAGATGTGCACTACTGGACATCAAGATTTATAATTGTAAATGCCATGTTACTCTCTGTTCTGGAATTATTCTCCTTTTGGAGGCTCTGGTCAAGAAGAGAATTGAAGTAAGTCCTACTGAGCTTGTTGAAGAGGGTAGGAAGTGCATGGTCTTCTAAACAGGAAGTAACAATCAGGACTTCCCAGTTGCTGACTGAAGTGACAGTGGCTAACCATAACTAAGGTTAATTAGAACGTGTGGATCTGAATTCACACATGCAGTAGTACTTATCTGTGAGTCCTTGTCAGGGTTTCTTCCAGCTGGTTTTACTGGAACCAGCTGCAGCAAATGCAGAAACAGTAATGAGGATGTTCTTAACCATTGGGAAATACTAACCCTTACCTTGAGAATTGCATTTTCTGGTAGCTGGTATTACCTGTCAGCTGAGAACTGAACACATCAGAATTTTGTCCTGGTATACTTAGAGTGTAGTTGTTAGAGGATGAGTCCTCAGAATTATGGATCAGTTTAGGCGTGCTGATATTATTTCGGAGACGTTATCAGAATTTCTGTTTTCTCTTCCTACTTTAACCTGAACTCAAGTGTATTAATATCACTTCATAGTTGCTGTGAACTTTTATTTGCAGGTTTTAGAACCTGCATGGGAGCAGTTGTGGTTTGGGTGCCACCAAGGGGCAGGACATGCCCAGGGAGCACAGGACCAGGGCAGCACCTCACTGCCCTGACTTGGTGCTTCCTCCTTCTGTCTGCCACTACTGTGCTTTAAGAAGGGTTTTCCTGCAGTGCAGAATGATGTTTAGAGGGACCTGAGTAAAGGCTGAATAACTCAAGGCTGCAGTACCTATTAGCTTTTCTTATCACGGATAAAAACAAACCACAGAGTTCCTCTGATCCTCTCCCTTTCCTTTTTTCACAGGACTGTTCCTCACAGAATGTGGAATCATTTCTGGAAAGTCTCAAGCCAAGGTCTTTTTGTAGCCATTTTTTGGCCTTTTATTCCTCAGTTTGTCTGCAATTGTTTGTTTTACTGGGCCTTGTATTTTAACCCCATCATAAACATCGACCTGGTGGTTACAGAGGTGAGGCGTCTGGAGACACAAGTGTAATGACTGGCACTGGAACTTTTCAGTTGTTTAGCTTCTAAAAATGGACATTTGAAAGAAACTTTGCTTTTCTTCTTTATGTATGTGGCAGTGAAAGTGGTGGATTACGTTAACTTAAACATGCAAAAAAGCCTTAAGCTAAGTTATTCTTAAACCAGCTGATTCCAAATTGGAGAATGGGCTTTATTACCCAAAAGGAATTTTCTGTTGGAAAAAAAGCCCAAACACATTCCTGTTTTAGCCATGTAAAACTCACAGTCATGTTGCCCTATTTTACATCAGATCAAACCTCTCGATTCTGTCTTGAGCATTCTGTGTATTTTCAAGCCTGCCTTAAAATCAGTGTCTTCTGAGCTGCTCTATTTCTTTTTCAGCTCAGTATTTCGTACCAGCAATGTCTTCAAGTTAAGTTTGCCAAAGGAATGCTCTTCCTGGATAGGATATTGAAACTACTTACTTTTTTTCAGTCTTCTTTACACGTAAAGTTGTGACTATCTTAGGCACAGTCTCACAGTGGAGTTTGTTCTAAAGTTCCTGCTGCTGAAGGCAAAAACTGCTTGAGTTTTCTTGTCTTCTGGAAAATGTGGAGATTGCCATGGAAAAATTTGTATTCAGATCAGTTTGACTTCCTCAGTAGGTCCTTTATTGCTCTCCTCCTGAATTCTGTTGCTAATTCCTAAATCAGGGTTGTCTCTCAGAAAAAATCATTTTGGAAAAGTGACCTGACACTGTAACTACATCTTCCTGCAATGCCATGTGTGTATCTACAGCAGTGAGGAAACACTGACTGGAAAGTTATTCTGTGCAAACAGGATTAACATTTGTTCATGTCTGGTTTTTGACTGAAGCAGAAGTTAGATTTTTCCAGAGTTTGTCCTTGCATTTTACCTTTGTTTGTTGTTTTGTTTTGGTTTTTTTTCATTTGTATCATTAACATGAACTTTAAATTTGCCTATGAATGTTTCTAAAGATTAAAGATCTCTGTGGAAATATTCACTGTTCCTGTAGAAGTGGGTTATTTTTTATTGTTTTTTTCACTGTATTGAAGTACTTGGCATTAGCTCTGACCTGTGCAAACCTGTTCTCTAGCCCTGTGAGTCTCTAAGTGGAGGTAGGTGAAAGTAGACATAAACCACTCCTGGTTCTACAGCTGTTAAAATCAGCAGTGATGAAAAAGTATATTAGTCAGCAACTCATGTTTCTGATTTCTGTTCCTAAAATGTTAAAGAAGTCAGTGAAGTGACCTGAGCTAAAACCAGGTTTATATCCTGATGAGGTGCATACACGTCTGACCTTTAACTCTTGCTGTCCAAGATCAAACACTGGTGGGAAAGGCTGTGGGTACCAACAACTGCTGCTTTTGTTCATGACTCTGTTTTGGTGATGGTTTGCATTTTCACTTTTCAATCTGGCTATAAAGACTCAATGGTAGAACTTCTCCCTGTGCCTACAGGAAGTTCAGGGTGTGCACAGACTAAGGATCAATGATCAACTGTTTAGAAAATTGTATTTAAAAAGTAAATACCAGAAAAAAAAACATTGTATTAGGTCTTCTTTAATACAGCTGAACGAGATGCCAGAGTTCAATTGTACAAGTGTTTGGTGTAGATGAGAGGACTCTTCGTGCTGACACTGTCACTTCACGTGTTTTTTCAGTTCAGAGTTAACCCATGTGAGGGTAAATGTCAGTGGGGTAGTTTGATTTGTATTTTACAGGCAGTGGAGGGGGATGAAGAGTTCACAGTGGTTATTGTGGATGTGAAAAGTCTGTCAATCTGAGTATAAACAAAACTAACTTTGTCAGTTACTCCTTAAGCTGATAAACTCGGGTTCCTATTTAGCCAATACAAGTGCAGTGCAGAAGGTAAATAAGAGGATAAATGTTTTCTTTGGCCATTGTGAGGTGGAGAGGCTGAGGTGGCGTGAAGGAGAATCGAGAAGAGGGGAGAACATTTGTTGTCACTACTGTGAGGACAAAAATTTCATTTAGATTTCAATACACTGTGAGTTCTCAGGAGACTGATGTGCTGTGTCTAATAGCCACACAAAGGCTGAATCTCACCACACATAAAGTCTGGCCACAAAAGGTATTTTCTGTGATAAGGAGCTTTAGAAAAGCATTTGGCAGCTTCACGGTCACATTCACATGCCATTTTTTGACATTTGTCTTCTAGTGACTCTGAAAGAAAACACAGCAAGTTTGATGTTAGTCCGAAGTGATGAGAAATCCCAAGTGGAAGACCAAGAATTGCTACCTCATGCTCCATATCTGCCATACAAATGGCTCTTACATTGCCAGAGCAATAGGAACTGTACTGAGCTTTGGTAAAGTTTAGATACTTTTGTGTTCCTGAGCCACAGCTCCGTCCTAGGACATCTCAGCAGTAGAGAATGGACAAGCTTGGGTTGGTTTAGTGACAGCTGATCCACGGATCAATCAGTGGAACTGTCTTGGCAGGTGAAAATACAATGGTCAGGTAAAGCCTTTAATCCTCTTCTTCACATTCTTTACTAAAGGAACTCTGAAAGTGTTCTGTGGCCCTTCCTGCTGCCCTCTCACTCCAGTGAAACCTGAATATGGGAAGATAATCTCCATCTCACATATCCTTTAATCTCCTAAAGGATGTAGCATTCAAATAGGTGTGGGAGAGATAAACGAGCTGCAAAGATGTTCCATGTCCAGCTCAAATCACCCAGTGTGTTTAAGTATGATAAAATCCATGTCTTGTCATATTTGCTGTATAATTGCAGTGTGGTAACTTAACAGATTTCTTGGCATGAGCATTTCTTCTTGGCATGAACATTTTCTTCCACTGCAATGTATTTTGGTTTCAGAGTGCCAACCCAGAAGTGTGTGGTTTTTTCTCCCTGCAGCTGTCTGTAAACTGAAGAATCCTTGACTGCATTTTGTCTGAGTATTTAACATTTACAAAGCTTAGCCAAATCTCTGCTTGAGATTTGTCTAGGAGCAGAAAAAGTGTTCAGTTTTGTGAATGAACTCTAATTCTGCTGTGGAATGAAAGTGTTCTCAGTGTAAATATGCTGATGCTGCAGTTAGATACACTAAGAGTTAATTGGCAGGATAAGGAGCAGGAATCAGAATCAATCAGGTTGGAAAAGACCTCCAAGATCATCCTGTCCAACCCTACCCTGGTTACTAGACCATGGCACTAAGTGCCACATCCAGTCTCAGCTTGAAAACCTCCAGGGATGGGGAATCCACCACCTCCCTGGGCAGCACATTCCAATGCCTGAGCACTCTCTCTGTAAAAAATCTCTTCCTAATATCCAACCTAACCCTCCCCTGGCAGAGCTTGAGTCTGTGCCCTCTTGTTTACATCAGGGGTTTTGCATTCCTGTAGTGCAAATAATAACCAATTCTCAAGCTGATTTGCATTCTAGGTAGAAACAATTAAATGCAAAGGAACTGACCTAGCACCTGATCTTAAAAACAAAACAAGCAAACAAAAAATCCAAAAAAACACACAAGCCAAAAACCATACCAAAAACCTAACAAGAAGAAAAGACCTGCAAATTTTGGGGCCTGTGAGAGAGACTTAAAGAGTCTTTGAAGTACATTGGAAAATATTTGCTGAAACTTTGGGAGTTGGGCACAAATAATTTAAAAGAAATTCTGCTTTTTCCTGTAAAACATATTTTTGATTATTTTTCTTTTCCCCTTTGAGATGTCTTTGTCCTTCCCTTACCGCAGCATGACAAGTATGTTTTGGAGCATCAAACAACATTCATCAGGATGTGGTCAGATATCTGTGGCAACCTGTATGCTTGTGTTATGTAAATATTTTCAAATTAATATTTGTTCCTTTAACTTCCAGAAATAAATATACTCATCAAGTATTTTATTCCCTCACTCTTTGAAGTTTTAGAGTATAATTCTGAATCCATTGATAAATTGCAACCACTGATCAGTGGGAAGGAGGCAAAAAACTTGTCCATATGAACTTACAAACAATGTGAAATATTTTCTTCTAAGTATGAAAAGGATCCTTTTCAATCTGCTTTAATGTGCTTGTCTCCTATTTGTAGTTGCTCTCCAACTGGAGATCTGCAGCATAACATGGGTTCCTCAGCAAATGGAAATGCTGAGTAAAAGGAGGAGGGTTTTGGTTGTGGTATCTGAAAGGCTAACAGAAGTTTCAGATCAAAATTTTGTTTGCTTATGTGTGTCAGTAGGTGGGGACTAAGGAGAAGAAACTGTTCAGTTGGGTGGCATAGCTGTGCTTTCTGGAGGCACAGAGCATCCTGGCAACACAAGTCACAAAAGGAAGGATGGGTAAGTAAGAATTTGACAGTTAATTCAGAAAATGCCTTTGTGTAAAGTGAATGAGATAATCAGTAGAAAAAAAATCAACAAAAGAACTCCCAAACCCCCTAAAACCCAACCCCAAACCCCCAACTGCTCACTCACCACACACAGCAGAATTGTCTTCACATTCCCAGTGGTAGCTCTCTGTCTTTGGCTGACAACCTGCTTGTTCTGCCTTGCCATAGCAGCAGTCGTGGTGAAAGCAGCACCTGAGAGCAGCAGAAATGGGGAGTTATGGGCACAGTCTGAGTGGGTTTTACCAGTGTGCTGCTACAGGCTGGGAAATAACAAGTCAGCATGTGAATGCACAAACAGCTGCTCAGGAACCAAAACAGGGTCATTGTTTCATAGGTCAGCTGGAAAAAAATTACTTTTCATGTAATCGATGATGAGAAAAATGTCTGGTACACATTGGTGTGGTTGAACTTCCTTATAGATGAAAACACAAGGAATCTTCAAAGCATTCTCAGTTCTGTGTGGGTAAACCTCTCTGCTAGTCCCTTACAAAAAAAAAGTGTTAGCTCAGTATCATGAGAAAATGGGGAAATTTGCTCAAAATTATGATTTTAAATTTGTTGTTGTCATAATTGGCACAATGAATTCATGGACTTTCGGTCACATTGTGGAACTGAACACTACAAGCCCAAAATAGCAAATAGGGGAGGTAAGAAGGCTCTGAAATGAGGGACCTTGTTAAGTTTTTGCTGCAAACTAGTGACACACTTTCTTTATGGACCAGTGGAAGAACAGGGTGTACCCGCAGACTTTTCATTCATTCCTTCAGTTTCCTCGTGGTAGCCTAAAACCATCACATTACAGGAGGCACATGGTGTTTAGATGGTGTTTAAATTGCCAGAGGAATTTGTGTCTGCAATGGTAAAAGTTAATGCCATGAGCTCTCACTTTGCAATTACTTTTTTTTTGTATGCTTATTAAGTAATTACTTGGTACTTCCACACAAATTGCCATGAACAGATCCTGCAGTAACAGTTGAACAGCACAGGAAGCAGCTCAATAACACCATGTCATACATAGAAATTAAAACCACAAAACACCAGAAAAAAACCCAGAAAGTTATCTTCTTGTCAGGTAATGTTCAATTATAAATCAAATTTATGATAGTCAATATGCTGAGATTTAGTCTGGTTTTAGAATTATTTTTCAACAGGTTGAATTTTGCATCATTTTTTATGTATAACTTCGAACACTAATAAAATGGGAAATGGTAATAAAATCAAAATATTTTTCAATTGCTTTTTAATTTTCTTTTTTATTTTTACTTTTCTAGATGGCTTGAATGTTTGAGATCTAAACTTTCTCCAATGAGACTTTAGTTCTTCAGCTCTTAGCCAAACAGCAACAGCAAAGAAACTCAATTCTCCTGTGAATCCAAGACTGATGCAATGAGAGTTTAAGGCAAGCAGGACTCGTGGAGATCTACAGCAACACAATTTAATGCTGCACAGTTTCTTAGCAGTCTGAGATGTGTTGAAACTCAGTTCCCTCACTGATGTTAAACAGGCTTAATTTAGATTTTGGCCCTTTTGCTCTGTCTTCTGCACACATTCAGCTCTTAGTTAATCAGATAAATAGTTCTCTCACCAGTCTACTCTGTCCTTGGGCCATCCTTTCCCTCCCAGGCCACAGTAGCACCCGTAGCGTAGGTAGGCGAAGGGAGAACGTCCCGTGGTGCACCTGATGGCTCCAGCCAGCTCGAGGATTCCTCTCCTGTTTCTGGGATGAACTTCTCCAAAAGTGCCTTTGCACACTGTGGAATAAAAAAACCAGCTTTATTGAATCAAACATGCAAACATAAAATAGTTCGTGCTTTGTTTGGGGTTTTTTTAAGCATTGAAAATGAATGACAGTACTTGAAAATAATCGAGCTTTGTTTTTGACACTCTGGGTCTGCACTGACCCAGTCCCTTTTCCCAGTCCCTTTTCCCCAGTGCACAGCAAGCAGAACCCTGAGCAGCACTGAGTAGCTGCAGTGGTTTCCTCCTCTAGAGGCAGCACATCAGGGCAGACCTCAGTCATTTCCAGCCCCAAACCTGGCAGAGGCCACATGTCCTGTGGCCCAGGCCCACTAGTCTGCTAAGATTAGCTTCCCTCAGGGCTGCAGTATTTGCTCCTTGGCAGAACATGCAATTGTGCCCATGGTTATTTTTCAGAATGTAATGCTTTTTATGTTGGAACAATTATGTCCTCTATGATAGGGTTCTGGTTTTCCTCATTTTTAGATGAAGAAGCCAAATAACTGGTGGGGATGGTGAGGTGCTTGGAGTCATTGCCAGGGAAATTAGAAGAGTGGTTTGGTTTTTTACCATTTCATTTTGTTTGGGTTTTGTTGTTGTTTAAGGGATTCTCACAATTATTTCTCCAGATCAAAGCTGCAGTTAGAAACTGTATTTGAACTATTGCATGTCAGCACTAAACAACTGGTCCCAAGCAGCAGAACAATGTTGGACACCAGGTGACTCCTTGCAGTGCAGGGTCCAAGCTATTCACAGCACATGTTAACAAGCTGGATGAGTACAAAACAAATCATAGAATCAACCAGGTTGGAAGAGACCTCCAAGGTCATCAAGTCCAACCCTACCGTGGTCACTAGACCATGGCACCAAGTGCCACATCCAGTCTCAGCTTGAAAACCTCCAGGGATGGTGAATCCACCACCTCCCTGGGCAGCACATTCCAATGCCTGAGCACTCTCTCCCTAAAAAATCTCTTCCTAATATCCAAGCTAACCCTCCCCTGGCAGAGCTTGAGTCTGTGCCCTCTTGTCCTGCTGCTGGTTGCCTGGGAGAAGAGACCAACCCCCACCTGACTCCAACCTCCTGTCAGGGAGTTGCAGAGGGTGCTAAGGTCTCCCCTGAGCCTCCTCTTCTCCAGGCTGAACACCCTCAGCTCCCTCAGCCTCTCCTCATGGCACTTGTGCTCGAGTCCCTTCCCCAGCCTCGTTGCTCTTCTCTGGACCTGCTCCAGCCCCTCAATGTCCCTCCCGAGCTGAGGGCCCAGAGCTGAGCACAGGATTCAAGGTGTGGCCTCAGGGGCAGAATCACCTCCCTGGTCCTGCTGACCATGCTGTTCTGACCCAGGCAAAATCAGTGGAAGGTTTCTGATTAGAGTTTCTTACTAATTAAGCTAATTATTTCTTTTGGTATGAGGAGAATTTTATAAACCTAAACTCCCAGTACTGGATACAGATTGCAAAAGACATTAAGATTTAATAACTGATAACATCTGGGAGGGATGTTACCAGAGAACAGAAGAAATGTTTAGAGTTTCTCATTGAATGCTCTGATATTTATTTTCCTACAAAATAACTATATGATTATGCAGTTTTTATATAATCCTTATAATTACCTAATGTGTTTTAATAGCCTAACAGAGTAATCTACGATAATAGATTATATGATTAACTATAATCAGTTCATGGAAAATCTGCCAGAAAAAAAAAATGTTCCCAGCAGAGTTGAGTAAGTTGAAATGCGTGGGGTGCTGGTGACCTCCAGCACTCAGAGCTTCATGACACAAAGGTATTTCAACACCTCATTCAGAAATACAACTGGTTTGTGTGTGAGAATGGTAACAAAAAGCCTTCAGAAAGAACAGCTAGGCTTCCTGAGGCAGCAGTTGGGACTTTTCTGACTGGTGATTACTCCCAGATCTTGTTCCCTCCTGCTCTAGGGAGAGGTGAGGCATGGAAACAAGAGTGCTTAAATTTGTCCCTGCATCTTGGTCATTGATAAAAAATAATTACATATTGAGGAGAGGAAAAAAGCTTCCTTGCTCTGCAGTTTCCTTTAAAAACTGCTCCATGGGCTCTAAACCAGGGAACAGCATCTGTTGTGTCACAGCTCCTGTCTCAGGACATTATCTGTGTGTTTATGCTCTATCTCAGCTCTGGGTAGCAGAAGGATCCACTGGAGTATAAACACATTATCTTTACAATATCATTGAAAGTGTTATCTCCACTGTCAGTACAGGCTCAGTAAATTCCCAGCTGAAATAACCCTGCAATAGGCTGCAGCGTTACAAATACAGCTGTAATCTTAAATATTTACTCTTGTAGGCAGTAAGTAATGTGTGAAGGAGCCACAGATGGCAGAGCTGGGTCTGCTCTGCACACTGTCAGTGATGCCGGGCAAAGTGAAAAACTTTCCCATTGTGTCTGTTTCTGCCAAGTGGGGAAGGATAGTGTAGGAGAGCTACAAGTCAGGAAGAAGAAACTTAAGAATTTCCAGGTCATATCCCTGGTTTCATCAGAGAACTGTTTGCTAACCTTGGACAAATCCCAGTCCCTTGATTTAAATCCATGTCAAGTAGAAGTGATGAACTGTCTGCTCCCTGAGGAGCTCAAGTATAAATCTTTCAAATGTGCCATGTACCCTAAAGAAAAGGACATGAACTTTTTATCCTTGCAATTTGTTTGTGTTACAGTATCTGGACATGTAGGTGTGAACCACGACTGTCTTGTAGCAGAGATACTCTGAGTATGAGTGAAGGAAAGGTCTGTCCCAACAGCTCTGTGAGCTGAGTTTGATAAAAGCAATGAAAGAGCATCCTAAAACACACAGAACTGTGGAAACATCAGAGTATCAGCATGGTGCTGATGGCAGCATTGCTGTATTTGCAATGTAATAAAATGCACAAAGTATTTGATCAGAACTTCTGTGGGATACAGAGACTGCAGTGACATTCTGCATATCTGCAACCGTCTCAGGATGAAGTTTTTGAAATATTCTGTGTGGGTTTTTATGAAGACACTGCATTTATGGACACGACTTTTCCTATAGGTTTGATTACACATTGCCTCTGTGTCTAACCTTTTTGGTTTTGTCCTGCAGATTGTGTGCAGCTCTGCCACACACAGTGCTGCAGGTGGGAGGAAAGGGAGGGAGTCAGACAGCATTTACTTTAATGTCATTGCTTTTTTAAAATCCAGTCTCCTCAGGTCCTATTTCCCATACCATTTTGCTCTCTGCAATAGGCTCAATGCAGAGATAATGGTTCTTTTTGCAGATACAAACTTGTATTGAGGTGCACAACTTTGCATAATTATGATACATAACTACATTAACCATTAGCATCTAATACAGTCTCTGATGTTTTGTGGGTTCTTAAGGAATTTTTAAGCCAATCTTTCAAAAACTGAAGCTCCAGAAACATTTTTTGATGTTAAATTTGTATAACATTTCCTGGAGGGCTATTTTCTTTGTGCAGTCATAGTGCTCCAGTAGTTCAGAACTTGAAGCTTAGGAATAAGCAGATTTTCTGATGCATCTTGCAAAAAGGACTGAATGTCTCGTAGAAGTTTCTTGGTGTTTGCTTAGATTTTCACCTGGTTTCGTAAGCCATCGGGAATGGCCTTTTTCACCTCACTGCATTGCCCAGATTACTTAGGTGCTCCCTCCACACACTGTGCTCACATGTACATTTTTTGCAAGGGTAAATTTGCCTGTTTTGATACTGTAGACCAAGCGTTGAGAAACAAGTAAATTGCCTTTCCCCTCCTCCCCTGCCTACGGAGTGGGTGACTGTGGTGCCTGACTCAGAGCTATCGGAGCGCAGCCAGGCTCTCTCTAATGATCCCTCTGGGCTGGCAGCAGCACTGATTCCACTGCTTTTCTTCATGTTCTCGCTGAGGTTTGTGCCATGCAAAGGGTGAAGTCTGGAGGATGATCAAAATGCAGGAGGAATCACAGGGGCACGCTGAGGTCAGGAAGTGGAATTGGGGCAGGGAGCTTGGTGGGGCCTTAAGTTGGTTCCATTATGCAAGCACCTTACCTTACTGGCTTTAATCATGCCTTCCCCCCCAGACCCTGCTGCATTCTGTGCCCAGACCTGCTCTGGGAAGAAATTCAGGCTCCTGTGCTTAGGATCCTGCTATTTCCAAGACTTGGTGTGGTGAATTTGCCAGTTGTGTAGGGATGCATTAAAACCCAAGGTGCATGAAGACAAAAGAGAATCTCTTAATTAAGGCAGCTGAATGCTATTCTGGAAAACTGGATTTTATCCTTAGAGCTGTCACAAAGGTTCAGCACGAGGTTAATTTAATCACTTTAAAACTGCCTATTGATGTTTACTAATCGTGTGCTCCCAAAGTGCTGAATGTCCTGGAGCACTAAGCTACTGCAATACTCAATGAGAGCCTTGGAGTAGCTGAAGTTTCACATAATTTAAAGCAGTTGTAGGTAAAATTGGGTTCTACCATGTCACCATGGGAACTCAAAATTAAGGGATGCTTTTTTGTATCAGCCCTGTCTGAAAAAAAATGGGATGATGACAATATAGTTTCACAGAAGTGCTGAAGAAATAAGTACATTCAGATACTGTCCTGATGAATCCCTCAGAACACCTATGAGGAAATGGGCTGTAAATTATTTCAACCAGTCTTTAATACTGCTTAATAAACAGGACACAGGAGACAAAAAAAATAATGAAATATTTGCAAAGTGAGTAAGTGGTGTGCTCAGGTATGAGGCAGGGGTCCTTTAATTACACTCTCCCATCAGAACTTATTCATAACGACTGAGTCACTTTTCAGAATAACCCAGTCATGCTTTTGCAGGCAATCTCAGTTCAGCAGTTGCCACTTTCAGACTGCTCTGTATCTCAAGCATTCTGTGATAGCTCACTGCAATGCCTAGAGAAGTGTGTTGGTAAAGGTATCAGCTTTGTAGGAAGATTCTTACAGCACATGCAATCTGCTGTCTGACCCCAAACCCTGAACTTGCTCAGCACACCCCACGCTCCAGCTGAGCT